AAGCATCTCATAGCAGCTCACCTTCCCCTAGGCTAAGGCATCACAAATCAGGCCACCCTAGTCCTAATAGGAATACCTAGCCTACTCTAGCAAGGGAATACATCATATCAATCTCATTAACATATAACATAAGGGTATTTTGGGAAATCACCGTTCGGGCGCTGACTGATCGTACACATGTCTCTGCTCTGTGTTTCTCTAAAAATCTTTTACTTCTTTTAGAAAACTTGATGCTCTTTTGAAAATATTTTCCAAATCCTCAGTTTGAGTTCAAAGACTCCCGAAGGTGTACCCGAATCCCTCAAACCAAGGCTCTGATACCAACTTGTAACACCGTAAATTTCCAAAACAATTTTTCGCATTTATAAAAACATAATTCATTTCTAAATCATAAAAACATCATTGTTTGAAACTCAATTTATAACATATAACAATCCCAAGATCTCATAGCATAAAAATCCCGTGTGTGTACTGATCAAGCCGGCGTCTTCCCGCGATCCTCACTAGTACCTGAAACACATAACACAAAACACTATAAGCACAAAGCTTAGTGAGTTCCCCAAAATATCACATATAACACATATTAGCCACTCGAGGCTATAACTCTGTGGGTCCGTGCACCCAAACTCTGTGAACCCTCAGGTTCTAACTCTGCAAGCATGCACAACATAAATCACATAGAAGAATGCAGTACAACAACAATATATATAAAACACTGTATCACATAACTCTATTTACCTACTCAAGGTAAAGTATAGTGAGAAGACTCACCTCGCGTATCTCGGTAAATATTTATCTCAGAATAAATGTGATCTAGCCTCCGCCTAATCACACAAAGTAATACACTCATAAATACATCTGAACTCAACCCTAAAGGACAACAAGGTCAACGATCAACTTTGACCAGACTCGGCGAGTGCACTAGGGCGACTCGGCGAGTCTATACGTGTCCACTGACTCACTTGGATCCTCTTTTGACACGCCGAGTGCTTCTCTGACTCGATGAGTTTCACCTGGCATAAATGGTGGGGCCACCACGACTCAACTCGCCAAGTCTCAAGAACAACTCGGCGAGTTCCGGCTTGACTCAGTCCCCCCCCCCCTTTGACTCTCCCTGACTCACTGAGTCGACCCCTCAACTCGACAAGACCACTCGCTGAGTGGTTACGGGCAAACTTCATGCTACTCACCGAGTCTATTCTTCAGAATCGGCGAGTCCATGCCATGCATAAACTCAAACTCACATCTGAGGTTAGATCTGTTCCATACAATCATTAATCTGGCCTCCCCAAGCATGATAATCACGTAAAGTCCAAACCTTGGTGCTCAAACAACAACTATTTGCTCCTAAATGATGTTTTAGCCCCATATCTCATAACTCTAGGTCAAAACTCCCATGAATCCTCAAAAAGCTTAAGGAATAAAGCTTCTCTGGACCTCTATGGATCCCATCTCAAGCTTCATCATAAATAGGGACGAAATGGACATCAAATCTAACCAACAACGGGTCAAGAAACCATAAACCTCCATGTTCATCTTAACAACAAAAATGGACACCCAAAAAATACCTCCAAAATGATGCTCTGAGCTCCAAAACCGAAGGATGTCCACCTCCCTTGCCAAACCAAGCTTCAAAAGTCAACAATGGCCTCTTATCTCTCCCAAAACTCTCAAAAGCTCTTTAGGGTTTCTCTCTGGGGTTGGTGGCCGCAAATGACGGCCATAAGCCCCTTTAAATAGGTCTCAAACCCTGGAAATTAGGGTTTCATTAAACAGCGTGGACTCGCTGAGTCCAGACGCGAACCCAAGCACAAAACCGCGATCCTACTCGGCGAGTTTAGACTCCAACTCGCCGAGTCCCTCACAATCACCCAAAAAATAAAAGAATAAAATTAATACCTGGGAATCCGGGGTGTTACAGTCCAGGATTAATTTTATTCATTTTTGGGCTATAGGTCATGTTTTGTAAGGTCTAGACTTGAAAGGGGAAAATAGTATTTTACCCTAAGAGAGAGAGAAAGATGATTATTAAGGCCCTTGATATTGATTAGATGCTTTAATTGCTAATTAAGGTAATTTGTATGTATTTAATGTGAGGACCCTTTTGTATCAGCTACTCAAGTATTATGTTTTCATCAGTGGACTGATGCGAGTCTTCTCATAGTACTTGCAGGTCGAAGGCACAAATTCCGGCTTATTAGATTATGTTATAGTATGTTAGCTCTCTTTGTGAGTTATGCATGTATTGTATGTGTTTTTATATCGGGAGGGGCCCATTGGATGTATGGTATGTGGTATTTTGGGGAACTCACTAAGCTTTGTGCTTACGGTTTTCGGTTCATGCTTCGGGTACCTCTAGTTCGAAGGGGAAGAGTTTGGGATGATCGCATCGTGTACACCATGATTTCTCCGCTTTATTGACTTACATGTATTTTGGATGTCTACTGATACATATGATTCATTTATGGTTTTGATTAAATTGTTTGGTTGATGTTTTATGTAATATGAAAACAAAAAATTTTGGTTTTGAGTTTCGAGACGTTACAATAAGTAAAGATCTCAAACCCTAAGTCTTTAGAGGCAACTCAACACATGCAAACACCCATTAAAAATCATAGCTTTATGTACGTGCATGGACAATGCATTTCCCTTCCATTTTAGGTAAAAAACATGACAATTATGAACTCAAGGCTTGAGCATAGGATCAAAACTCCAAAGATCCTTAGATCTAGAACATATAACACTAAGAGGACCATAACGATCCATAAAGTTGCTAACTTTATGAAATCCAACCTTTCAAACTCTCACACCATGAAGATTAAGGGACAAAAAGTGTAGATCTAGAAGCAAGTAACATCAAAATCGGATCTTGAGGACTTACAAAAGTCTAGAAAACATGCAGAAGGGGAATGGAGAGAGTTCCTTGATGAAACAAAGCTCAAGGGCACCGTCTTCTTCTTCTTCTTTGAAACACCAGAAAAGCTCAAGCTCAAAAGGTGGAAACCCTAGCCATGACTTCTCTTAAATAGATGCACAAACCCCGGAATTAGGGTTTGTCATTAAATAGCGGCCACGCCCTGGCACTTACTTAGTCACCACGAGTTTACTGGCCGTGGCCACATCGTGAGATTCATTCACCACATCGTGGTTACCAGACATCCAAAACTTGAAACATTAATACTTTTAAGAAATAGACATACCCGAAACTTGGCATTACATGCGACCCGCTTGACCCTCATCATTTTGTCGTATCAGCTTATAATTTGATATTATATATATGTACACTCCATACACATGAAACATATAATGTAGAGTACACATCATACGCCTATTAGCTGACATATCAGTTCTAATTACCCAAAATGTCTAGTGGATCTAAAATCACCAACACTACCCATGATGTTTGACACGTTTAATGAATAATGTTGTATTTTCTTGTTCGTTTCCGTTTGAGAAAACGTTCTTAGTGGTATACAAACGTTCCTTTGTAAGCTTTTAGAATGGGTTTTATGCAAAAAGGTCCCATTATTTTGGGAAATTTTTTGATAAAGTCTAAAATCTTTTTTCCTTAATAGAAAAGTCTTGATTATTTAATATTTTGCCCAAATAAATGAAAAAAATTCCTTTTTTATTTAAAAAAAAACTGACAGATTATGTGAGTTTTCCAAAATAATGGAACTTTTCTGTTCAATTTTTTTGGGGGGATTTTATCAAAATTTTCCCAAAATAATGAGACATTTCTAAATAAAACCTATTTCAGAAGTGTACGAAACCAAAATCTCAAAATTTGGGAGTATGATAGAGCAACTACTATGATTCATATACCAATTGTTGAGAATAAAAACAAGAGCCATTTAATTTCAAACAAAAATATTATGTGTGAAATAACAAATAACATTATATGATCACCACAAATATTAAAGAATAAGATTATTTCTATGAAAACTTGCAAGCAAAATGATAATTAATAAGAACAACATAAGTTTGACTAAACAATTGACTTGTATATTTCCAATGGTTAAATATAGGGCTAACAAATATATATCATAGAAAACCAATCAACATGTTACCAACCGAACCAATAATGTTGATAACCAATATGTTTGGTAGCCAACATATTTTGTTGGTAGGACCATACCAATTGAGTAAACATGATAGGATAATGATACAAAGTTTTCAATACTATGGTACTACCATACCAACCAATTTAATATATATATATATATATATATATATATATATATATATATATATATATATATATAGAGAGAGAGAGAGAGAGAGAGAGAGAGAGAAACATACACACTATCACAAATCTAAATTTTAAGTGTTTTTGGTGTTTAAGATTTGAGTAAATTATTGAAATCGTCCCTATGGTTTGGTCAAAATTGCACGTTTGGTCTCTAACTTTCTTTTTGCACTCGGATCGTCCCTGTGGTTTGCTTTTGTTGTGTTTTTCGTCCCTTACATACATAACCTTAGGGATCAAACGTGTAAATTGAACCAAACCATAGGGACAAAAAATGCAACAAAATCAAATCACAGAGGTGATCCAAATGCAAAAAAAGTTAGGGACCAAACGTGCAATTTTGACCAAACCATAAAGACGATTTCAGTAATTTTGTCTTAAGATTTTAAGACCTCTAATATTACCATCCACCTTATTAGGAAACCTTAAAGTTTAAACTTATGGTGGCATGTACCATTTTACGCCATGTACTTCTGAGTATGGCTTACCATATTGTAATCAGGTCACATTAACACATTGATTACAAAAGATATGTATAATAAACAAATACAAGTAAAGTACAACTTTGGTGCGGAGAACAACAAAGGATAGTCTTTTCTCATCTTTGGGTAAAGGCATTCTTCACCTCTCTTTAGTTTCGCTACACCAAAACACGTAGACTTTCATCATCAACAAAACACATTCGTTTGTTTTTATGCTTTCACTTATCTTCGGTGGTCATTTTTTTGTATTAACTCCCACCCCTCCTCCTCTAGGCCCAACAAAGTTGCCCCACCCCCATGGCAATTATGTTGTTGTTAACGGACACCACAAGGAAAAAGGCCATTACTGGCGACAAAAGTCGCCGGTAAAAGTCCCAAATGTCGCCGGTACTGATAATAGCGGCGACGCGTCGCCGGTAATGAGTCGCTGGTACTGCCTCGTCGCTATTGATCAGTTTGTCGCCGCTAAAGATAATAGTCGCCGCTATTAGTATGTCGCCGCTACTGACAATTGTCGCCGCTAATAATGTTGTCGCCGGGAATGACATTTGTCGCCGGTAATAGTGTCGCCGGCAAAAGTGTCGCCGGTAATGATAACTGTCGCCGGTAAAAGTGTCGCCGGTAATTTGTTTTCAATTTTTTTTTTAAATAACGATTTTCGTTGCCGGTGATAATATCGCAGGTAAAAGTGTTGCCGGTGATAATATCGCAGGTAAAAGTGTCGCCGGTAATAACAATATTCGATTAAATATCAAAACCAATAGTGTCGACGCTAATTACAAAACAAACATCCTATTAAATATCAAACATAATAGTGTCAAACAAACATCCTATTACAAACAAACATCCAAAATACAATTAAATATCAAAAGTCATACTATCCGAGTAGCAAAACAACAAAATTTTTACATTCTACTAAGTAGCAAAACGAGACAACATATGCAAATAAAACTCATTCTTACATACCCTCATCACCGTTCCCATCGTTTCCTTGATTGTTTTGGGATTGAAAAAACGAATAAAGCTCATCCCTACATGCCGGGTCGGCGAGCATTGCACGAAGATTTTCCAACTACATAATTAATAACAATATATATAAAATTATAAGTTAGATCGTCAAACATAAACAAAGTACATTGCTATATTTTCCAACTACATAATTAATAACAAAAACTATCAAAATACATTGTTATTTTTAAAGTAAGATAGAAAACCAAAGTACATTGCTATATTTTGCACTTGGGACAAAAACTAAATTACCAAACTTTTTAGCAAATAACCACCACAAAACCAAAACTACCAAATCAACATGCATTTTACGATGCTAAAGTAGATTGCTATTTTACCTGTGATGGTTGTGATGGTGGTTGTGATGGTTGCGAAGGCTGTGGAATCGTCGGGAGACCAGAAGGTTTGCGGCCAATGCCTCTAATGTGGCCACGTCGCTCTCCTAATACTTTCTCGAACGTAGCTCTTTCTTGAGTTGGCGTAAACTCACTTTCACACGCACATCTGATTTTACCATTACTATCAACGTGCAACTTCGACTTCTCAATAAAAGCTTTGAGTCCTGCTTGGAACTCGGGATGGTTTCGATATGGATTAGTAGTCCAGCTTTTATCAATAGACATGATGTTGCTGAAACATAATTTTGGGTTTAGAGTTTAGTATACAGAATTAGCATTGTTTTTTTTCAATCCACATTTTTTTACATCTAAAATAATACAAAAATTAAGTAATAAAGAAATGAAAAAAATAAATTAAAAATTTTTATTTATGCATTTTTTTAATTAATTTTAATTAAAATTACTTGTAAGTTAGCTTGGGTAAAAACTAGAAGCTTTCTAGTTTTTGTATATAAGTTTTTAAACAATTTTATAGTTTTTTTTTGTGTTTTTTTTTCAATTTATAAAAATAATGTATTTTTTTTTATTTCAATTATAGCATCCTACTTATACCAAAACCACATAGTTTTACATAATACATAAGAAGGTGAAATTCACATACTTTTACATACATACACCACATATACATCAAATACAAATACACACAAAATAACATCCTATTTAAACAAAATACACATAATTTCACATACATACAAACAAAAAATTGAATAACTTGCTTCTAATTCAAAACAATACCACCAAAAACAAAAATATGAACAATTTATTATCATTCAATCACTACATAAAGCTACAAATCAAAATTCATACAAAATAAAAAAGAAATCATAAAAAAAAACTTACCTTTCTTCAACAAATGGAGGCACCTACAAATTGATCCCAAAGCTTTAACCACTTGCTTGGAACAATGCTTCTAATCCAAAACAACACCACCAAAAATAAAGAACATGAGCAATTTATTATCATTCATACAACACAAAAATGAAATCATCAAAATAAAACTTACCTTTCTTCAAGAAATGGAGGTAGAAATTGATTCCAAAGCTTTAACCACACCTAGGGACACTTGCTTGGAACAATGAGGGGAGAAATTTGCTTGAAAGAAGCAGATTGAAGAAGAAATCGGAAAAATGGTGAAGGAACTCGAAGCAAACAGAAAGGGAAATGAAGAAGGAATTGTAATCTGCGTGCGTTTTTTTTTTTTATCTGCGATCATCAATAGCGGCGACACCTTTAGCGGCGACGCGAGGGTCAATACCGGCGACAATTGTTAATAGCGGCGACAAACTGGAGGGAAGGGTACCGCGTCATTTTTAGCAGACAATTAACGGCGACTTTTTTAGAGTTTTAGCGGCGACATGCGTGTCGCCGGTATTAGGTTAGACCGGATAAGGCACCCCACCCGTTGGATTGGATATCTCATCGAACGGTTGAGATGCAATGTAGGGGGAAAGTGCGGATTCGGGTGACAACCCTTTAGCGGCGACACTATTAGCGGCGACTATTGGCTTTACCGGCGACTCTAGCTAGAGTCGCCGGTAAAGCCAATAGTCGCCGCTAATAGTGTCGCCGCTAAAGGATATATTTCTTGTAGTGGGAAGTTTGTGCTGGTTTTCCGATGACTTTTTTAGTTAGTTTATTTGGTCCTTTTCCCAGAAAAAAAAAAAAAAATCCAAAAATCCTTTAGTCCATCTTTTGAAATTGTTGACCAGTTTTCGCAACATATAGTTTTTATTTATATTAAAATGTTTTTTGTTGTATTCTTTTAATATAAAATGCTTAATTTTGTAAAACATGATAAAAAAATGTTTGTAGGACAAGCCCACAAGCCAAAACACGTCAGCATCTAGTTTGGCCTATTGATCCGAGCACCATAGACCTTGTGTAGAGAGTACCATAGATATAACTTTGTATAAACATTGTAGATAGAAATAATCAATAGGTCAAGGACTAAACTAGTAAAATTTTTATTTTCCTTACATAAAATGTAAAGAACATCTATCAAACAAAAAAGAATCAAACCCCTCAATCATCAGCAATAGCTGCAAAATCCAAAAAATAATAATACTAATAACTAGAACATATCGTAACATACAATCTTTCGATCTGAGAACATTAGTTAGAAAGCTGCTCAGATTCGTCTGAAGATTTCACGTAAAACCGATTCAAGCGTTCACCAGCTTTCTTAACCTGTAAAACCAGAAAGATTCAGTTTCTAATTTTAGAAATATATCAAATAAGAATGCCAAAAAAGCCTAAAAGTATTAATGTTTAAAAAAACTCCATTCATCGTTCCGAAGTTTACCTGATCATCCCAATCTGTTCTCCATGTCAAGTAAATAAGTGCAATTGTTTGAGTTATAACGCCACCAATCATTCCAAGCCATATACCCTAAAAATTGATATAAAAAATTTTATTCAAAAAAACGAGGAAAAATGAATAACTTAATGTAACATTGGTTTAATTGTGATATATTATATACCTTTACTTGAAGATCAGTTAAATATCCTAGCAAAGCTCCCACTGGAATACCAATCACGTAATAACACACGAGGTTGATGATTGCTACAGTACCCTGCATTCCAGCTCCAACAGCCACGCCTAACGATAACAAAAAAAAAAAAAAAAAAAAAAATTACTTATAATTTTACAGGTTTGAACTTTGAATCTCGATAAAAAGATCTGGCTTATATATATTATTATATAATCTAGCGTAAAAAAAAAAGTTCATAATTTAAACCATAGGAAACAAATTTAGAAAGATCATATATTTTACAGAGTCTGACAAAACCCATGATGACAACAAGATTTTACTAGTCAAAATCTTGTAGAATCCAAGGCAATCAACACTAAAAACGTATACTTTCCCAGAATAGAAAGTTTACAATTTACGATGTCTTTTAGGTTTTAGCAGATTCCGCAATCAAAGTTCCTGGAAAAACTATCCAGCAAGTAACCATAATCTTTCCAAGAATAGTAAGTTCATAGCTTAACAAAATAATCCTAGAGGGTTCAAATTATGGCAAAAGGATCAACCCTAATCTTTCCCAAAATAGAAAGTTGTTAGTTTAACTGACATTTAGTTTTTACCAAACTCCTCACGACTACACACGTCTACAATATTTCTTTAATTAACAGTTTTAAAACGTTAAAGAATTATTTAACATTATATATACTTCAAAACTATAGGACATATAATTTTGAATTCAAATGGTTGTAGAATTACCTGAAAGAACTGGATAAATGCTGTTCAGCAACACGGAAAACGAAAGTAATAAAGAAAGATCCTCAACAGTGTCTGCAACTCTTTCATCATCTGTAAAGAAGTAGGCGATTTTTTTGCCAAAAATTAAGCAAAGAACAAAAAAGAATGTTCCAATCGCGATAGAAGTTCCCAACAACACTTTAATCGAGAACTTTGTAGCTTTAGCATTTCCTCTTCCAAGTTCATTTGCAACCCGCACACTATATAAAAATACAAAGATTTTTTTAGTGTAAATTACAAATTTGGTCCCTATGCTTTTCATAAAATTACAAGATCAGTATAAATTTTGTGGTTAAGTTTTATTTCATTGCAGATATAGTCCCTGTGGTTTACTCAAAATTGCAAGTTTAGTCCAGAATTTGAAGTCGTTTTATTGGGAAGATCTGAAAATTTGGACTGAACTTGTGATTTCTTGTAAAGCACAGGGATCAAAGTTGTAATTTACTCCATTTTTTTCGTATAACATGCTGAAATAAGTTTGTTTATAAATTATTTAATTGATTGGTTGCGTACACTGCAGATCCTAAGAAGCCGAGACTTATCATAAACTCCCATGCATTGATGTTCAAGCTGCAAAATTCCAAATAAAAAATATTTCAATTTCTTCAGATATTAAATAAATGTATAATATGATTAAATTTATAAAATGTATGTATTATACCATATGGAAAAGGCAGAAATGGCAACTTCTGCATTTGCCATGTATCCCGCAAGTAAGACTAGCACAGCATTGTACCATAGCTCCAAGCTAGCATAAGAAATAACACAAAAAATATTCGTTAAGTTACAATTTAAAAAATAAATAAATAAATAAATGAAATAGACTTTTGAGGTCAAACTCTTTTATTATGTATAAAAAATGAGCTTAGTTACTTATTTTTTAACAAACTTTCATTGTTTAAATTGAACTATGTTAACACACTAGGTGTGAGACCCATATATTACATGGGTTAACTAAAAAACATTAAATATCAAAATATAAATATTAAGTATTTTTTAAAATTAAATTTTAAAAGAAGGAAGTAAAAAACATATTTATTGCAATTTAAAATCATATTAATTACATTTAACATTTTACTTATATAGTTATATGTATTACCAGGCTTTCTAATTTTAAAAATTAAAAAAACCTAGAAATTGAAATGTGGATACTATTTAATTAAAAAATACTAGACAAATGTCAAAACTTATAAGAAATTGATGTGTTAAAATGCATTTTAATATGGACAAAACTCAAAAATAATATAAAAATTTTGACTTTTGAACTACTAAATCAAAGACTTGACTTTTACTTGAAACATACTACATAGATTGCCTTTGACTTTGACTTTTCCCACATTGAAATTTTGCTATCAATAAAGAATTTTAAGAAAAATTCGGTTATTACCAACAGTTTAACAAAAAAAAAATCTATGCTTGATTGTGTAACAAAATCCGTAGCAAGAACTAATCTTGAAATGTAAGAAGTTTGACTTTAAAAGTCAAAATTCAATAATCGTTTACGTTTTTTGAAAAGATGATCATACTTACCACACCATAACACCAGAAGCAATCGAAAGCTTCACAACAGGGACCAAATCTTTAAAAGCAGCAACTGTAAACCCTTTCCATGAAAGCGGGCACCACCCACCAAAAATGTAGATAAATTCTCCGATGACAAGAAACCAAGAAGAAGTCGACAAAGCAATCATGGCTCCAGGAAGTCCATACCCTAATTTATACACCAGAAGCCATGATAATGGAATATGAATCCCGAATTGGAAAATTGAAAGCCATGCGATCACCATGTTCTTTAATTGAGCTTGTAGAAACATTTGAATCGTTAAGCTGAAGACGAAGTTGTAGACGAAGGGGATGAACCAGAGAGATACGTAACCACCGGCTACAGCTATGTCTTCGTCTTCTCCGATGAGTCTGTATAATTGTGTTGCGAAGATGAAAATTGGGAGTAAAACTGTTAAAGTGAAGAAGTCGACGATCCATGATCTTTGCAAGTAAATGCCCATCATGTGGTGTTGACCCGCTCCGAATGCTTGACCACAAAGTGTTTCGGTTGCACTTGACATTCCCAACTATTGATTGAAAGATGTGATTAAAATAATGATATATTAGCGATGTATTTTGGTTTTCAATTTGTGGTTAAGAGGTTGTTAGGTAATATCTCAATAGAATGTCACCTCTAAATGGTTAGTATTTAACGTTTTTGATATAGCATATGAACGATTGGAAGACTCTAAATAACCTCTTAACCTCTTAATGGGTAAAGAACCACATATTCTTTTAACCATAAAGATAGGGAAATACTTGAGCACTATAAATGGCTCGGTTTTATTAAACAATCTCTTAATGTGTTAAAAGGTAGGTTGAAAAATTTTCTCATTATTTGAAGAGTATAATGAATAGCATTTAGAGCATCCAAGCGGCATTGTAGTGATTTAGAAGTTAATAGCAAAATTAACATGCACATTTGAAAAGTAAAGGGCTTAGTTTTATCAAACATCTTTAATGTGCAAAATTTGAAAATTTATTATTATTTAAAGAATAAAATGTGGCGTTTTTTAGAGCATCAACGGTATTGTAGTGATATAGAAGTTAATTGCAAAACTAACATACCACCATTGAAAGGACTTGGAAGACTAATTAACATT